CGAGGAGACAGCACTGGGTTCGGACTGTGCGTGGCGGCGACTCCTGCCTTCTCAGAGGTCCTCCCTCTTTCGAATGATCATCTGCCGGATCAGATCGGCCACCTCAGGCCGGATGGCGTCCACGGGCTCCTCGGGCCTCCAGGACCTGACCACGCGGCCCTCGGGGCTGACCAGGTACTTCCAGAAGTTCCACCTCGGCTCCTTGTTGGAAGAATCTGAAAGATAAGGATACACTTTCATTTCCAGGAGTGGTTTCATTTTTTCAGATTTTCAGTTCTGGTGGGACCTTCCCACTTTAGAATCAGCCTCTAGGGTTGCCATCGTGTCACAGACAAAGAGCAAAGCGCCCAGCGAAGCCAACGCGAGACCCGAGGAACCTGATTCCTCTACGGTCGGCGACTCCACCAACGATCCGCTGAGCTAACGTGACTTATTTCAGATCTGCTGATCTAAACAAAAAATCCCCTTGTCACCAGCTCACAGCTTTCAGTTTCTTAACATTTTAAAAGATAAAATGATATTTTAAAAGTCCTTTGTAAAGGGAATGTGTAGGGCACTTTTCATATTAAATGTAAGTTTTTCATATTGTTACCTATTACATAGCTGAAAATGGCAAGACATTTACAATAACCATATTTTGAGAAATTGTGACACCCTTTTGATGCTTTTTAATTTACATGAGAAACGTAGATTTTTCTCATTTATATCACCCTGGTTTTATGCGCGTTGTTATTGACTGGCCTGAGAAAAAACATAACTGAAATTTATCAAGTGCCTGCTGTATGCTGGCAGCTGCTCGGTGCTTTAAATGGACCGCCTGTGCGCTCTCCAGCAGCCCTGGGAGGTGGGCGGCATCATTTTCCCCATTTTGCAGATGAGGAAAGTGGAGGTCCATGCACAGGTGTCATGGCCAGTTCTTTTCTGTGCGCGTGGGACCCGGGCGTAGGCGACACCCGATGGAGGAGGAGCTGGACCTGAGGCTTCTGGCTTAGGAGGCCGACCTCGCCCAGGAGAGGGCAGAGTAGGAAGAGCCCACGTGATTTCAGGAGAATCCCGGGGGTCAGCAGGGTGAGGGTGGGTGGGAAGGAGGACGCTGCAGGGGGGAGGAGGAGGCGTGACCACCTGGTCAGCAGGGGCGTGACAGAGCCGGACACAGTGAGCAGGGAGGGGAGTGGAGGGAGGTGGCAGAGACAAGGGGCTAGCTCTCCTCTCAGAAACGGAGGAGGCGGCGGAGGAGCAGTTTTCAGAGGTGGAGAAGCTTTGCTTTGTGCTGGAGGAGAGCCAGCGAGGGTGCCTAGGTGACGGGTGATACAGTGCAGCCCGTAGTCACTTCTGTGTCTTTGCTCTGCACACGGGGCCCAGTGACCTGCAGGGAAAACGGCCGAGGACCCAGCTGCCTCGTTGGATGAGAGGACGGCACCTGAAGGAACTGAGTGGGCCGGGCAGACAGGGGACAGTCCTTCACTCTCACCTTAACCCATCCCCCAAGCGACCCGAGGGGGTGGACACACACAGTGATCATCTCACTTTACAAACGAAACAGGCACAGAGAAGGCCAGCGATGTGCCTGAAGCCGCACAGCACAGGGCGTGGCCGGGGCTCGAGCCGGGCAGATGGGGCCAAAGCCTGTGCCTTAGTCACTCACCCTCACTGCCTTTCTGCTCCCAGACTCCTGCCGCCCGACTGCAGGAATGGCCCAGCACTGCTTCCTCCAAAAGGGGGTTCTATGCTGTTTTGAATTTTAGCAAAAACCCGGTAAACTGAGTATTATTCCTCCTTGAGGAACATGAAATCCAGCGTGGACGTAAGTGCGGACGATAGGGCTCTGCACTGTTCACGGGAGGGGCCGGCCCCAAGCCCACTTCAAGACCAGGGGACGCCGTGGCCGCTTCTCAAGCAACACGGCCAGTGAGATGACCATCAGGAATAAGATGCAGTGGGACGGGTTTGTTTCGTCATCCGAGAAGTCAAAACGTTGATTTCAGGGAAGCCTAACTTCTAGGCTCAAAAGGAGGACATTTGGGCGCTCGGACGGTGTTATAAGACGTCCCCGAAAGCACGTCCTATGAGACAGGACAGTGGTCCTGCTTTCGAAACGAAAGCAAGCAGCTTCCCATGGCGGAGGGGAGACACTCACCGACAAGGAAGCGGAAGGCGGGCTCGGCTTCGGGCCCCAGGACCTTAATCTTGTGGAAGATGGGGAAGGTGACCCCGTAGGTGCTCCTGGCGAAGGACACGACCTCCCTGCTGGGGCGGGGCTCGGCCTCCCCGAACTGGTTGCAGGGGAAGGCCAGCACGCTGAAGTGGAAGGGCCCGAACTCGCGGTGCAGCGCCTGCAGCGCCAGGTAGTTGCTGTCGGTGAGCCGGCAGTCGCTGGCCACGTTGGCCACCAGCGTGACCTCCGGGAAGAGAAAACAGCCGAACAGAAAGTGAAGCAGGGAAGAGACCAGAAAAGGGCTCTGGCAGCAGCTGAAATAAACCCTAACCCGGGGAAGGCGGCCTGGAGAGAGGGTTATGTCACAGCGGGGCACTCCCAGGATGGGGTCCGGGCCTAGATGCCCCGTGGAGACGCAGGCAGACCCCC